TATTCAACACATTTCTCTAATGACTATTCCAAAGACTAGTGTCATTCCATTATACGCTATGCAATATCATTTATTTTACTAACCTATATATAACTATAATAACCATTTCAATAAAGCTTTCAAACACTTTATCAATGTATATAGTGGCAGGGAAATTAAAACATTTCAAAGTCCATAATATTCAAAGTCCATTAACAGTGACTTGACTAAAATCTGTCTGAATGAAAAAGAACCAGTCAAAACCCTTGATTGAAAAAAGTAGCTATGGAATTTAGCAGCCTGTACTAACATTGGACTATAAAAACAGCTAAATTGTTGTGAGAACATTCTGTTCAGACACAGTGGGGTTAAGAGAACCCAGCAGCTACCATTCTTAATTGTTCCCCTAATTCATAAATAAACCTTGGTACGAACAAGAACCTATCAATCAACACATTCTCAAATAAACCCCTGGTACATTCCAGAGCTCAGGCCAACAATGAGGCTTGACGACTTCATCTAATCTTGGTCATTCCCAGCTCCTCATACCACACAAACTGACAACACTGATGGTGTTGTTTCATTAAATTATTTTAAATGATTTCCCATTTCTCTTGAAGTCTGTTATTTATCAAATCAAATCAAATCAAGCTTTATTTATACAGCACATTTCAGACATGGAATGCAACACAATGTGCTTTACAGGAAAAAACAAATGATAATAAAAACATAAATATTCACTACACAACAAATAAAATAGGATAAACAACAAAAGAATAACAATAAAAACTGAAAGAGTAAAAAGCACCCTGAGGAAAAGCAAAAGCTAAAAATGTGTGTTTTAAGATCTCTTTTAAAAATGTCCACAGTTTCGTCTCCCCTCAGGTTCTCTGGCAGGCTATTCCAAAGGCTGGGGGCATAGTAACTAAAGGCTGCCTCTCCATGCCTCTTGGTCAAGGCTTTGGGATAGTTAAAAGGCCAGTGCCAGAGGACCTGAGGGACCTACTGGGTACATAACTTAAAAGCATGTCTGACATTTATTCTTATCTGTTCTTTTTCCTTCTTTTTGTTCACATGTAAATGGTAAGGAGATAATTGCTGTCAGAGTGTCGCGAAAGCCCAGAAAAAGCCCATGTTAAAGAAGAGAGACCTGGGGGCCTTGGGCCCTGTGGGGCCTCAGAGAGATTGGTCGCTCCTTCCCTCCTCCTGCCTCTTCATTATTGACGTCTAATTGGTGTTTAGGGTGCATGCTAAAAGCCCATCACCCCTCCTCCCTCCCAAGATGCAGGTACTGTGCCACAAGGCATAGCTGTCCTGTGAGAGAGGAAGATACTGAATATATTATTTTTCAGTAAGTCTTCAAAGTGAAACTAGGTAAGATCAAATCCACCCTGCGTCAAACATTAGTTTTCTAATTAGGGGCATCCCACTATCACAGGCTAACCCCTACTCTGCCAATGCTGTTCAGTGTAACTTTTGTAATCTTCCATGATTCTATGAGTTGTCTGTTCACATCCTTCCCCAAAAAGCATGCGTTTACACAGGCAGCCCATGTCTGATCTTTTGCCCAATTATTGGCAAAAGAGCTGATCTGATTAGGCAAAAGACCAATTCATGGAAAATATCAGAATTGAGCTGCCTGTGTAAACGCAGCCTTAGTGTCATGTAGGGTTACACAGTTTAAGGGGTTTTCACAATACCACTCAGAAGTGAAAATGACTTAATGGTTAATGAATGTGTTACATGTACTTAGGTCATGGGATCCTGAAAGTGCCACACATCTCAATGGAGCTCAGATAGGGAGAGGATATCAGAACTTCCAGTATCAGGTGATTAGACAGGCCTGATTAAGTGTAAAGACTCAGCCTCTGTGTTGTAATGCACCAGAAATAATCAATGAAGTCACAACAGATATTTCAAGTGTACAGTACAGTATGTGACAGAAAGCCTTTTGTTGTGCAGTGCTTGAGAGGACCTAGGAAATCACAGTTGATGAAGGTCTTGTCTGTGTTGACTATAAACAGCAGTGGACTGTGAGCCTTTGAAGGGTGATTGTTGTGTCCACACTGATTTGACCACTAGGCGAGGCTGGCCCTGTTCAAATAGCTTTGCAATGCATCCTTTACTTCCGTACAAAGTTATCACTGATCTTAGATAGGCAAAGGAACAATCCACCCTTTCACTTCATACATGATTACACGAGAAGAAGGAAAGAGTGATGCATTAAATAGTATTCATCCTCTAGTCTAGTTAGTGGTTTTCAGTATGACTGATAACTGGCTCTGCAAAGCAGCCAAACCCTAGATGACCTGTGATCAGTACCCCACCATGACAGGCTGGACTGGGCAGAGCAGAAGAGATAGCATGGACTACTACGTTCCCAACCACAGTGCCAACTCGGATCAGTCCACTATCAAAGGTTGGTTTCCCCTTTCATCATCTGCAAACTTGTCATGTCAAACCCGTCCAAACATGAGGACGGAGCAACATCTGAGACATAAAAGCCCTGAAAAAAAGGCATAAACAGCCTTTCAGTTAATCTGGCATACTGTTACTGGACAGGCTTGATGCCAGTTACCACCATGGCTGCACAGTCTCAGTTCTTCTCTCTCCAAACAAGAGACACACTGCAGGGACCATTATGGGGTTTCAGGAGGAAACAGGGGTTGCTATCATAAATAAGGAGTGAGGTTAAACAAGCTACCTGTCTGGTGACGATAGTCTTTTCCAATCTTTCACTTGTCCAATCTGAAGACATCAGGGCACCTGTTCTAGAAAGATGTAAAATAAAGATGTCAATCATCAATGGTTGGTTCCTAGATCTGTTACGATTGTCAAAGTGCAGACAGTAGTGCACATCCTTCACAGCCATTTTAGGTGTGTATGCGGTCCTTCAGAGATGTGTGTTCCTCTCAACAGGTCCAGAGCCAGGGGTGGAGCCCCTGACCCAGGTTGAAGAGAGGGTTGCTCGGTCCCACGGAAATGGCCTTGTGGCACAGACAGCCATGAGTACGCAAAGCTTAGAGGGAATGGGACTCAGTCTCTAGTCGTGGCCATTACTCACCTCATGAGGTCTTTCACACAACCACTGGCACAAGCCCTCTTCATATTACATACTGTATGTACATCTGTGAGTAAAGAGACAGAAAGCTGTTAGAACACATCTTGAACTTTTAAACACCCCTTTTGAAGATGTCCAGCTGCATGGCAAAGATCTAGTTATGATTCTCCCGACAGGATCCAGAGAGGAAGTGGCTTTCAGTACAGGTTTATGAGAGAACTGCTCTACCCCCCTGTGTTCATCCCTTAGAACATTTTAGGTCTTAAAGGAGACTTTAGATTTTTTACAACCAAATCTCTATTTTTGATGTAAATGGAATGTTATAGAAGGTCCAGAAACCTTTTTTGCGATTTAATTTGTTTTTGAGAAACGCACCTCAACCAGTGATTCACTTCCTCATCCTTGTTGTGCAGTACAGGGGCTCGGGAAAAACATGAACAAAACGGAAACACTCTCAGTATGGTGATGCAGGTCTTTAGATGTTGTTCACATGAAATTGTGTCATTCCGAACTTCATCCGCATCGTTATATTCCATTTTGTACGACTCGAGCTGTTTCCCCTATCCAGCTGTTCCATTCTCCGTGTAGCCTGCTACTAGAATGGACAGAGAGGTATCGCTCGAGTCGCAACAAAAGTCAATGCAAGTCAATGGTACCTATACTAGCATTTTCCGAATCATGTCCAAATCATCTATAAGTAACTTAATTGAATTACACAATCAATTTTTTGATACTTTAGGATATTAATAGTGAAATGTACAATGTAATTTTGTTTCGATATTTCATTTGTTTAATTAAAATAAGATACCTAGAGCTTTTAAGAGTCAACTGCTCAAAAATGTCAAAATAAAACTAATAAAATAGATTTTAACACACTAATCTTCAGGGGGCATTTTGCCCCATAGAGGGCAAAATGCCCACTTTCTAAAGTTTCTGTTTTTATTGATTAACAAAAAATGTAATTATTCTGCCCACTTATTTCCCTTCAAAATGTATTTGCCTAAGGATAGCCAGTATGCACATATCTAAATCTTAGCAAAAGTAGCTTTTTTGTTTAAAAACATTTTCCTTAAAGCTGGAAACTTTAATTGTCACGTCCGTTTGCGATATTACAACAACAAAGAAGTTACTGCAAACAACAAACAGTTTTTTTCCCTCAGATATCATTGCATGGCAGAATATGTGACGCTCCTCACTTTCGCTTTGTTAACAAAACAAAAACCATAACAACGTCCGTGGCCCGGACAGTGGCACTGTTGCCCCTACAGCGGATTCCAACTTTAAGGGGGTTCCCCCTACTGTCTATTGAATGGGCTGGTTTTGATGGCAAAGGATGATGGCAACATTTGTAATGCGAAGATGTCTATAAATTAAGTTTCAAACCAATATAACGCGAGCAAAATCAAACTTGAGTATCACCATACGTCTGCAAGTTGGTGTGAAATGTGATGTGAATATTCGATGTATGTAAATGATGATCAGTGACTATCCACTAGTAATACTAGCCAAATTCACCACAACTCCCAAAATCCATTGCGTCATTCAAACGCTGATCCGAGGCTCTGATTAGTCTGTCTGTTCTGTCAAACAAACATCAGAGCGCTCGATTCGACAGAAATGCGGTAGCTTTTTGTGGTGGGCGGGATGTGCATTTCCTTACATAGCATGTTGTCGGTTGCTATCAACCTGCCGCAACTTCATGTGTGTTTATTCACTCATGCATCTGTCATTTTTAGATAACTTATACGTTAGTAGTCTGCGACAATGAAGTAATCAAAGCGTTAAAATTAAGCTGCACTTTTTTTATTTCGTGTTAACTGCCTGCGGGTTGGTCTCTAGTCGAGACATTAATTGCCAGTTTTTTACCCCTGTGGTAGCCGTCTGGCCTTAGCCGCGGCCGCGAATCAGCTTCATATTTTCTCAATATCGTGCTGCTTTGAAACATGTTTATTTTATAAATATGACGGTGAGGGGGACCCTGTAAACTAAATGACTGTCAGAAATATCGCCTCCATTTGTAATATGGTAAGTAGCCATAGCTCCTTCGAGTGTCTGCTGCAGTCACTTTCGGCCACCTTGTCTGTGTAATGATGATGATGAGAGAGGTTCATGGTCGAATTGCTCCTGGGAGCTCGAGCTGATCCGCTGTAGTATCAAGCCACCAGTCCTTGCTTGACAGGGATGCCATCATTTTGGAAGGGTAGCTTTATCTTGAATGATGAGTATGAGGCCTACATGTTTAGCTACTCTAGCCAAATAAACACATACAATGTATATTGGCAACGTCAGGAAAATGGGTATCAGACAGCAACGTTGTCACACATAAAGCTTGCTGTGCAAACGTCACAGTCACCTCTTAGTACGGTGAGTGACGTGGTTTGACACGTTGATTTCAAGTGTCAGTCTCGTGTGAATTTAAAGATCCCGAAGCTTAGCTTGGAAGTGAAGCAAGGGAATATGACAGATCCTCTCATATGGGCATGGAACTATGCTAATCTATATTTAAAGGGCCCATGTGCTGTGTGAAAGTGGTTTTCAGGTCAGTTTCCTCAATTACATTTTTAGTCACAGTCAGAGAATATCCTGTCTCATGACAATGGTCCCATCCCCACTGCTGCACATGTATACACCTTTGTGTACCTGCTGCAGAGCCAAGGGAGGGATTGGTGAATGCAGTGTAATAAGCTTTTAGTGGTGGGAGACTTTGATTACAATTATTCTATGATTAATTTAAATGTTTTGGGTTCATTGTCTCACATGGAGGTGATGACTTAGACGTCTTGCCAAGGGCATTAATGATGGGCATCTTACTGACTCGGTGTATAGAGGAGGTCCTTAGGTGTAACACTTTACATTGCAGTGTCCTTATGACTGTGTAATTAGTCCACACAGTAATAAGGACACTAGGGTATTGTAGTGTTACCTTTCTTTACCAGAACCGTGTTTAGGCTACTGAATCTAGCTGTTGATAAGGATTCAAAAGTTCAGGAAGATGTCATGTTTGGAAGTACAAACATTTTATGTGACACAGAGCATTTGATTGGTGTTGAATGGGACTGTTATCATCTGGTCTTTGTTTTCTTTCCTTTGTACCATTGTTTGTGTAAGCTTTGATGGGACGTTATTATTTAGATGAGACAAGCAAGTGTACATTGTCTAGTTTGATGGAACACTTAATGTGTCTTTGGCTCAGCGGTGTGTGTCTGTATGAGAAATTCAAGCTTGAGGAGTCAGTCAAAACGGAAATCAGAGACAACAAAGCAAGGTATTCTGGTCTGCTTTGACTGAGAGAAAATGATAGCGATTTTAAGACTAAAGCAACGCTAGCAGAAGTCTCTGTTCACTCAACAAAGCCATGGCCTCATCTGGAACCTCTGAGCTCTGGTTAGCCAATGGGCTCGGTCAGGAGATAAATGCCCTGTCACCACATTACGGAATGTTAAATGCTCTTGAATATTTACATCCCCCCTGAGTGAAGAGGTTGGTAGGGAGTTTGTCTGATGATGAAACCAAATTATTCCTGATTTCCAGTAGTATGAATAAGCAGGGTTTGTGATGGGGAAACTGCGAGCTTCATGAAAGCCATAATAGGCCGGAGTGGACTGCCAGTCATGGTCAGAAATAATCCAGGCATTGACATACACTACCGGTCAAAAGTTTTAGAACACCTACTCATTCAAGGGTTTTTCTTTATTTTTACTATTTTCTACATTGTAGAATGATATGGGAAGACATCAAAACTATGAAATAATACATATGGAATCATGTAGTAACCAAAAAAGTGTTAAACAAATCAAAATATATTTTATATTTGAGATTCTTCAAATAGCCACCCTTTGCCTTGATGACAGCTTTGCACACTCTTGGCATTCTCTCAACCAGATTCACCTGGAATGCTTTTCCAACAGTCTTGAAGGAGTTCCCACATATGCTGAGCACTTGTTGGCTGCTTTTCCTTCACTCTGCGGTCCGACTCATCCCAAACCATCTCAATTTGGTTGAGGTCAGGGGATTGTGGAGGCCAGGTCATCTGATGCAGCACTCCTTCACTCTCCTTCTTGATAAATAGCCCTTACACAGCCTGGAGGTGGGTTGGGTCATTGTCCTGTTGAAAAACAAATGATAGTCCCACTAAGCCCAAACCAGATGTGATGGTGTATCGCTGCAGAATGCTGTGGTAGCCATGCTTGTTAAGGGTGCCTTGAATTCTAAATAAATCACAGACAGTGTCACCAGCAAAACACCCCCACACCGTAACACCTCCTCCTCCATGCTTTACGGTGGGAAATACATATGCGGAGATCATCCGTTCACCCACACAACGCCTCACAAAGACACGGTGGTTGGAACCAAAAATCTCCAATTTGGACTCCAGACCAAAGGACAGATTTCCACCGGTCTAATGTCCAATGCTCGTGTTTCTTGGCCCAAGCAGGTCTCTTCTTATTATTTGTGTCCTTTAGTAGGTTTCTTTGCAGCAATTCGACCATGAAGGCCTGATTCACACAGTCTCCTCTGAACAGTTGATGTTGAGATGTGTCTGTTACTTGAACTCTGTGAAGCATTTATTTGGGCTGCAATGTCTGAGGCTGGTAACTGTAATGAACTTATCCTCTGTGGCAGAGGTAACTCTGGGTCCTCATGAGAGCCAGTTTCATCATAGCGCTTGATGGTTTTGCAACTGCACTTGAAGAAACTTTAAAAGTTCTTCAAATGTTCCGTATTGAGTGACCTTCATGTCTTAAAGTAATGATGGACTGTAATTTATCTTTGCTTATTTGAGCTGTTCTTGCCATAATATGGACATGGTCTTTTACTAAATAGGGCTATCTTCTGTATACCCCCACTACCTTGTCACAACACAACTGATTGGCTCAAACGCATTAAGAAGGAAATAAATACATTCCACAAATTAACCTTTAAGAAGGCACTCCTGTTAATTGAAATGCATTCCAGGTGACTACCTCATGAAGCTGGTTGAGAGAATGCCAAGAGTGTGCAAAGCTGTCATCAAGGCAACTGGGTGGCTATTTGAAGAATCTCAAATATAAAATATATTTTGATTTTGTTTAACACTTTTTTTAACACATGTGTTATTTCATAGTGTTGATGTCTTCACTATTATTCTACAATGTAGAACATACTAAAAATAAAGAAACACCCTTGAATGAGTAGGTGTTCTAAAACTTTTGACCGGTAGTGTATATCTGAAACAAAGGTTAGACTATTATGTGAGACAGAGACATGTGCAGCATGTGACCTCTCTATAAAGAGGCTTTGGTCTGTCAGTTCCCTGCAATATACTGTACTTACCGGGATGACTATTAGGCCAGAGAGCCCTTGACCAGATTCACTAGCTGCAGTAATCATGTGCCTATGAACCAGAGTGATACTGTTAGCACTGAGGCAGTGTGCGCTAGTAGGAAGTCCACTGTGTGCAGTTCACCCTGCACTAACATAAAAAACATGAGCATGTTTACCTCTGATAAGCTTCCCAGTAAAGCAATAAAAACAATCAAGCATTCCAGAAAAGTGCTAAAAATAGTCCATGTTAACATATGTGACCGACCGGCTCGATTCGGTCTTATGTAGCAACATTTGAAGTGTTTTTTTTTTTTTTTTTTTTACATTGGCTCAAAGTAGAGACTAAGAGCTAGAAAATGGTATATCATACACTACAGTTGAGGAACAATGGGGAAAGTAATTCTGCTTTGAAAGTTGATAATTTTGTTAAACCTACTGGAGAGTTCTTCTTTGTCTACACCCATTCAGCATCGTTCACACCCTCTTAACCCATCTCTTTAAGGAGTCACGTGAGGCCATGTACTAAACAACCAAAGATTTCAAAATTAAAGGCTGGTTTATATTACGGGTGTGTTTGCAAATTCAATCTAGAGTGCCAGAGTGCGCTAAGGGTAAGCTTAGGGTGTTCGTAAACTCAGAGCGTTGTCAGCTTGTCTGTTCGTAAACTTAGAGCGTTTCGCTCTCTGAGTGTTCAGAGCGCACACTGGACGCTCTGGTCGAGGAGTAGGGTTGATCCGAGCGTTCTGACCTCACAATGGCAGTCAAGCACCCAAGCTAAGTGGCTAAAGTTGGCTAGTTTGCTAGCTACTTCCAGACACAAATGAGAGAACACCTCACTCTGACCATTTTACTCGCCCTAGTAGAGCGTTAGTGACTAACTGTGCTGCTGGCAACAATTTAATTACGCTTTTTTTCCAACGTTTACTGACACCGGCCATATTCAACGCGTGTTGAGTGTTCGTAAATTCGTCAGTTATTCTGCGCTCTGGCACACTCAGACGACTGTGCTCTGAAATCAGAGTGAATTTACCAGCTATGTCAATCAACAGTTGTAGCAGTGACATCATAAACATTCTATTGAAATGGTTACTTGCATAGTGGAGTCTTTTGTTTAGACATGTAGCTAGCTAGTTAAACAATTAACTATAATCCCAACTCATAACGTTACTACCCTGCATGAATCTGCAGGTAACTAACCAACCAGGTTCAATGTTAGCTAGCTAGCAAACATTAGGCTATAACTAGCAATGCAAATGGCTCTGAGATACGAATAATATTACTACACAGATCATACATGTAATGTTAGCTAGCGAACCAGCCAGCTAATGTTAGCTAGCTAGCTAACAGTACGCTTTAACTTGAAATGAAAACGACTTTCTGACAAAATTAGAAACGTGTAATATCTGAAAATGTAACTAGCTAGACTATCTTACCCGTATACATGGATGGACACTTCTCCCTCTGTCACGGATGCCATGGTTGCCCTTAGTTTGAAGATGTAATCCGGAAACAAGTGTTTTATACAACAGCCTTCTATGTGTTCTCTTTTCGACTCCCTCTGCATATTTGCAAACAAACACCAGAATTTACTCCATCTCCTTAGCTATCATTCTCTAATTCCACCGGGCATTCCACTGATTTCAAAACTCGGTCCTCCAGAAAGTGGAGAGCAACACTTCTGCAGTTCTACTATGTGATATCTTTCAAAAAAGCCGCTTTAGAAAGGATTACCTACACATACTGACCAGCTCATGTTACAGACAGACGCGTGCTCCATGGCAGACAAATCCGAACTCATCTCTCGGCACGTCCAGCCCATCCATTATCTCAGCCAATCATGGCTAGCGGGAAGGTTCCTGTCTTTTTCCGTGGCTAAACCAACTTGGCTCGTAATGTAACCATTTTATTCGTATTTACAAATGGCGTACAAGTTTGTTATTAAGGCAAATGAAAGAGCACATGTTCCAGAAGGCATTTCTGGCCAAAAACGCATTTTGATTTTTAAAAAAAGTTTACGTTCAAATGGCTCTCCTGTGAAGTAGTGACGCACGAAGTAGTGATTCCTGAAATGAATCACATATGTAGCTTAAGAAACAAGGTTCATGAAATCAATAATTTGCAAGTAACAGATGACATTCATATTCTGACAATCTCTGAAACTCACTTAGATGATACAGTGGTAGCAATACATGGTTATAAGTTCTACAGAAAAGGCAGAAATACCAAAGGTGGTGTGGCCGTTTATATTCAGAACCACATTCCTGTAAAGCTTAGAGAGGATCTCATGTTAAATACTGAAGTAATATGGCTACAGGTTCATCTACCTCACCTAAAGCCCATTCTGGTGGGAAGCTGCTATAGACCAATAAGTGCTAACAGTTAGGATCTGGATAACATGTGAAATGCTTGATAATGTATGTGATAACAACTGAGAGGTATATTTTCTGGGAGATTTTAAATATTCACTGGCTGCACAACCGATTGGCAAACATACTGCAAATTGAGAAATCGTGACTAAACTGAATAAAAATAAGAAGCTACACAATGAAACAAAGATAAATGACATAAAGAATGATAGTAAAAAGCTTTGGAGAACCTTAAATAAAATGTTTGCCAAAAAGGCCAACTCAGCGCCATCATTCATTGAATCAGATGACTCATTCAACCACAAAACCCACTGATATTGCCAACTACTTTAATGACTTTTTTCATTGGCAAGATTAACAAACTTAGGCATGACAGCAACAAACACTGACACTACACATCCAAGTATAGGTGTCTCCTGAGTGGCGCAGTGGTCTAAGGCACTGCATCGCAGTGCTAGCTGTGCCACTAGAGATCCTGGTTCAAATCCAGGCTCTGTCGTAGCCGGCCGTGACCGGGAGACCCATGGGGCGGCGCGCAATTGGCCCAGCGTCGTCTAGGGTAGGGGAGGGAATGGCCGGCAGGGATGTAGCTCAGTTGATAGAGCATGGCGTTTGCAACGGCAGGGTTGTGAGTTCGATTCCCACAGGGGGTATGAAAAAAAATTAAAATAATGTAAGTCGCTCTGGATAAGAGCGTCTGCTAAATGACGTAAATGTAAATGTATATCTGACCAAATTATGAAAGACAAGCATTGTAATTTTGAATTCCGTAAAGTTAGTTTGGAAGAGGTGAAGAACCTATTGTTGTCTATCAACAATAACAAGCCACTGGGGTCTGACAACTTGGATGGAAAATTACTGAGGGTAATAACGGACGATATTGCCACTCCTATTTGCAATATCTTCAATTTAAGCCTACTAGAAAGTGTGTGCCCTCAGGCCTGGAGGGAAGCAAAAGTCATTCCGCTACCTAGGAATAAGGTTACCAACCCTTAGTAAACTTTTGGAAATAATTGTGTTTGACCAGATACAATGCTATTTTACTGTAGACAAATTGACAACAGACTTTCAGCACGCTTATAGGGAAGGACATTCAACAAGCACAGCACTTACACAAATGACTGATGATTGGCTGAGAGAAATTGATGATAAAAAGATTGTGCGGTTTTTGACATTATCGATCATACAGTAGTCTGCTGCCGGAAAAACGTATGTGTTATGGCTTTACACCCCATGCTACATTGTGGATAAAGAGTTACCTGTCTAACAGAAAACAGAGTGTGTTCTTTAATGGAAGCCTCTCCAACATAATCCAGGTAGAATCAGGAATTCCCCAGGCCAGCTGTCTAGGCCCCTTACCTTTTTTCAATCTTTACTAACGACATGCCACTGGCTTTGAGTAAAGCCAGTGTGTCTATGTATGCAGATGACTCAACACTATACACATCAGCTACTACAGCGACTGAAATGACTGCAACACTTAACAAAGAGCTGCAGTTAGTTTCAGAATGAGTGGCAAGGAATAAGTTAGCCCTAAATATTTCAAAAACTAAAAGCATTGTATTTGGGACAAATCATTCACTAAACCCTAAACCTCAACTAAATCTTGTAATAAATCGTGGAAATTGAGCAAGTTGAGGTGAGTAAACTGCTTGGAGTAACCCTGGATTGTAAACTGTCATGGTCAAAACATATTGATACAACAGTAGCTAAGATGGTGAGAAGTCTGTCCATAATAAAGCACCGCTCTGCCTTCTTAACAGCACTATCAACAAGGCAGGTGCTACAGGCCCTAGTTTTGTCGCACCTGGACTACTGTTCAGTCCTGTGGTCAGGTGCCACAAAGAGGGACTTAGGAACATTTCAATTGGCTCAGAACAGGGCAGCAATGCTGGCCCTTGGATGTACACAGAGAGCTAACATTAATAATATGCATTTCAATCTCTCCTGGCTCAAAGTGGAGGAGAGGTTGACTTCATCACTACTTATATTTGTGAGAGGTAGTGACATGTTTAATGCACCGAGCTGTCTGTTTCGGACACCCATGCATACCCCATAAGACATGCCACCAGAGGTCTCTTCACAGTCCCTAAGTTCAGAACAGACTATGGGAGGCTCACAGTACTACATAGAGCCATGACTATGTGGAACTCTATTCCACATCAAGTAACTCATGCAAGCAGTGTAAAATGTGATTTAAAAAAAACAGATAAAAATACACCTTATGGAACAGCGGGGACTGTGAAGCAACACAAGCATAGACACATGCAAACACATGATAACATACGCACTATACACACACGTATACATGGATTATGTGTTGTATAGTAGTGGCCTGAGGGCACACACTTAATGTGTTGTGAAATCTGTTGTGAATGTATTGTAATGTTTTACATTTTTTATAACTGCCTTAATTTAGCTGGACCCCAGGAAGAGTAGCTGCTGCCTTGGCTAATGGGGATCCATAATACATACAAATACTAGCTTGGGGGTTTGCAACAGTCTACCTTTTTGCTTACAACACAGCCCTGAAGGAGATAGAACAGACATGTGTGAGTAAGGTTCTCCAGATGATGTGTAGCCTATTTCATGCATAATAAGGATGTTTTGACAGTGCACATTTGAGCTCATGTTCCCTCTCTCTGGTCTCCTTCAGGGCACCAATGCCTCTGCTCTGGAGAAAGACATTGGTCCGGAGCAGTTCCCAATCAACGAACACTACTTTGGATTGGTCAACGTAAGTGTCATTCACTCTGTCCACTAGGTCACTACTGAGTCATGTTTCCCATTGGACAGGTGGTTGGTGTTAACACCTTTTATGAGAAACAGGTTGTTTTGTTTGCTGGACTGCCAGTAATGCTACCATTGTTTATGAATGATGTCTTTACACAGTTTTGATGTCTCTGGCTGTCCCAGTTTCCCTGCTATTCTATTTCCGTTGGCTAAACAAAACAAATCTCTGAGGAACTTCTGTTACCCAACTACTCTGTTAGCCAACCCTTCAGGTGGCTTCTGTTTAATGACTTGAATGTAAAATAAATGTTGAGCGGCTTCACTGCAGGTGGATTGTATGTATAAAAAAATAACCTTCAGATGGAGATTGTTGATACTAAAAGCAGAGTTTGGCTAGCCGGGTTGCTGTCTCTGTTCAGCTATTACATTCCACTCCTTGCCACTCCTGTCATTTGCCAAAAAGACTGGCCTTTGCAATCTTCAAATATGAGCTCGAGGAGATTAGAGGATTTGATCCTGATTTGATAGCCCTCACGTCTATCACCCAATCACAATGTTTATGCAAATTAGACTGATAGGAAAACGTTCTAACTTTTTTATTGGAAGCATTCTAATATTGGGCATTCTGACATAATACATTTAATTGTAAACATAACATTGGACGTGGGGAGAACAGAGGATTCCTGTTTATTGCATTTGTACCCTATTTGTAAGTCGCTCTGGATAAGAGCGTCTGCTAAATGACGTAAATGTAATGTAAATGTACCACCAGCCAATGTGATCACATCACACCAGAAATGCTCTCGCCATTCAAAGTTCCCCGCCAGTTCATTGTGAACGCTGTAGCCTATTTTATATCCAGCAAGAAAGAGTGAGGGGAAAAAAGTATTTGATCCCCTGCTGATTTTGTACATTTGCCCGCTGACAAAGAAATGATCAGTCTATAATTTTAATGGTAGGTTTATTTGAACAGTGAGAGACAGAATAACAACAAAACATCCAGAAAAATGCATGTCAAAAATGTTATAAATTGATTTGCATTTTAATGAGGGAAATAAGCATTTGACCCCTCTGCAAAACATGACTTAGTACTTGGTGGCAAAACCCTTGTTGGCAATCACAGAGGTCAGACGTTTCTTGTAGTTGGCCACCAGGTTTGCACACATCTCAGGAGGCATTTTGTCCCATTCCTCTTTGCAGATCTTCTCCAAGTCATTAAGGTTTCGAGGCTGACGTTTGGCAACTCGAACCTTCAGCTCCCTCCACAGATTTTCTATGGAATTAAGGTCTGGAGACTGGCTAGGCCACTCCAGGACCTTAATGTGCTTCTTCTTGAGCCACTCCTTTGTTGCCTTGGCCGTGTGTTTTGGGTCATTGTCATGCTGGAATACCCATCCACGACCCATTTTCAATGTCCTGGCTGAGGGAAGGAGGTTCTCACATAAGATTTGATGGTACATGGCTCCGTCCATCGTCCCTTTCATGCGGTGAAGTTGTCCTGTCCCCTTAGCAGAAAAACACCCCCAAAGCATAATGTTTCCACCTCCATGTTTGACGGTGGGATGGTGTTCTTAGGGTCATAGGCAGCATTCCCCCTCCTCCAAACATGGCGAGTTGAGTTGATGCCAAAGAGCTCCATTTTGGTCTCATCTGACCACAACACTTTCACCCAGTTCTCCTCTGAATCATTCAGATGTTCATTGGCAAACTTCAGACGGGTATGTATATGTGCTTTCTTGACCAGGGGGACCTTGCGGGCGCTGCAGGATTTCAGTCCTTCACGGTGTAGTGTGTTACCAATTGTTTTCTTGGTGACTATGGTCCCAGCTGCCTTGAGATCATTGACAAGAGCCTCCGTGTAGTTCTGGGCTGATTCCTCACCGTTCTCATGATCATTACAACTCCACGAGGTGAGATGTTGCATGGAGCCCCAGGCTGAGGGAGATTGACAGTTCTTTTGTGTTTCTTCCATTTGCGAATAATCGCACCAACTGTTCTCACCTTCTCACCAAGCTGCTTGGCGATGGTCTTGTAGCCCATTCCAGCCTTGTGTAGGTCTACAATCTTGTCCCTGACATCCTTGGAGAGCTCTTTGGTCTTGGCCATGGTGGAGAGTTTGGAATCTGATTGATTGATTGCTTCTGTGGACAGGTGTCTTTTATACAGGTAACAAGCTGAGATTAGGAGCACTCCCTTTAAGAGTGTGCTCCTAATCTCAGCTCGTTACCTGTATAAAAGACACCTGGGAGCCAGAAATCTTTCTGATTGAGAGGGGGTCAAATACTTATTTCCCTCATTAAAATGCAAATCAATTTATAACATTTCTGACATGCGTTTTTCTGGATTTTTTTGTTGTTATTTTGTCTCTCACTGTTCAAATAAACCTACCATTAAAATTATAGACTGATCATTTCTTTGTCAGTGGGCGAACGTACAAAATCAGCAGGGGATCAAATACTTTTGTCCCTCACTGTATACAGTACTAGTCAAAAGTTTGGACACACCTACTCATTCAAGGGTTTTTCTTTATTTTTACTATTTTCTACATTGTAGAATAATAGGGAAGACATCAAAACTATGAAATAACACATATGGAATCATGTAGTAACCAAAAAAGTGTTAAACAAATGAAAATATATTTTATATTTGAGATTCTTCAAATAGCCACCCTTTGCCTTTGATGACAGCTTTGCACACTCTTGGTATTCCCTCAACCAGCTTCACCTGGAATGCTTTAACAACAGCCTTGAAGGAGTTCCCACATATGCTTAACACTTGTTGGCTGCTTTTCCTTCACTCTGCAGTCCGACTCATCCCAAACCATCTCAATTGGGCTGAGGTCGGGAGATTGTGGAGGCCAGGTCATCTGATGCCGCACTCCATCACTCTCCTTCTTGGTAAAATAGCCCTTACACAGCCTGGAGGTGTGTTGGTTCATTGTCCTATTGAAAAACAAATGATAGTCCCGTTAAGCCCAAACCAGATGGGATGGCGTATCGCTGCAGAATGCTGTGGTAGCCATGCTGGTTAAGTGTGCCTTAAATTCTAAATAAATCACAGACAGTGTCACCAGCAAAGCACCCCACACCATAACACCACCTCTTCCATGCTTTACGGTGGGAACTACACATGCAGAGATCATCTGTTCACCCACACCGCGCCTCACAAAGACACGGCGGTTGGAACCAAAAGTCTCCAATTTGGACTCCAGACCAAAGGACAAATTTCCCCCGGTCTAATGTCCATTGCTCGTGTTTCTTGGCCAAGCAGGTCTCTTCTTATTATTTGTGTCCTTTAGTAGGTTTCTTTGCAGCAATTCGACCATGAAGGCCTGATTCACACAGTCTCCTCTGAACAGTTGATGTTGAGATGTGTCTGTGACTTGAACTCATTTATTTGGGCTGCAATTTCTGAGGCTGGTAACTGTAATGAACTTATCCTCTGCAGCAGAGGTAATTCTGGGTCTTCCATTCCTGTTGTGGTCCTCATGAGAGCCAGTTTCATCATACCGCTTGATTGTTTTTGCGACTGCACTTGAAGAAACTTTCAAAGTTCTTGAAATGTTCCGTATTGACTGACCTTCATGACTTAAAGTAACGATAGACTGTCATTTCTCTTTGCTTATTTGAGCTGTTCTTGCCATAATATGGACTTGGACTTTTACCAAATAGAGCCATCTTCTTTATACCCCCACTACCTTGTCACAACACAACTGATTGACTCAAACGCATTAAGAAGGAAAGAAATTCCAGAAATTAACTTTTAAGAAGGTACAGCTGTTAATTGAAATGCATTCCAGGTGACTACCTCATGAAGCTGGTTGAGAGAATGTCAAGAGTGTGCAAAGCTGTCATCAAGGCAAAGGGTGGCTATTTGAATAATCTCAAATATAAAATATATTTTGATTTGTTAAACATTATTTTGGTTACTACATGTTTCCATATGTGTTATTTCATAGTTTTGATGTCTTCACTATTATGTAAAAATAAAGAAAAACACTTGAATGAGCAGGTTTGTTCAAACTTTTGACTGGTAGTGTATATTATTTTTTTACTGCTCAAAATAAGTGACCAAACTACACTGAACAAAAATATAAACACAACATGTAAAGTGTTGGTCCCATGTTTCATGAACTGAAATAAAAGATCCCAGAAATGTTCCATACGCACTGTTTATTTCACTCAAATTTTGTGCACAATTTTGTTTACATCCCTGTTAGTGAGCATTTTTCCTTTGCCAAGAGAATCCATCCACCTGTCAGGTGTGGCATATCAAGAAGCTGATGAAACAGCATGATTATTACACAGGTGCACCTTGTGCTGAGGTCAATAAATGGCCACTCTAAAATTTGCAGATTTGTCACACAACAAGTTTTGAGGGAGCGTGCAATAGGCATGCTGACTGCAGGGATGTCCACCAGAGCTGTTGCCAGAGAAGTAAATGTTAATTTGTCTACCATAAGCCACCTCCAATGTCGTTTTAGAGACTTTGGCAGTACGTCCAACCGGCCTCACAACCGCAGATCACGTGTATGGCATCGTGTGGGCGAGCGGTTTGCTGATGTCAACGTTGTGAACAGAGTGCCCCATGGTGGCGGTGGGGTTATGGTATGGGCAGGCATAAGCTACGGACAACGAACACAATTTGCGTTTTATCGATGGAAATTTGAATGCACAAAAATACCATGACGAGATCATGAGGCCCATTTTTTTTAAAGGTATCTGTGACCAATTAGGACCTAATTTATTTATTTCAATTCACTGATTTCCTCATATGAACTGTAACACTGTAAAATAAATGAAATTGTTGCATACTGCGTTTATATTTTTGTTCAGTATATATTGCTACTTCTGGGTAACACATTGGGCAAGGCTACTGGTTCAAGAGCTATAAGAGGAATACAGAGAGGATGGAAGAGATGCCAGTGGAGATGCATGAATTGTGCAAGAAGGGAACAGTGAGTGAAGACGGAGATGTTCAAGTTAGAAGTTGATTCATAGGCTGGGCTATAAATCCACCACTCGTATACGAGCCTATATATTAGGCCTAGCTTACTACAGTGAATTTAGGCGACCACCATCTGTGCCATGCAAGCGTAGAGACAAAAACAATTCAAAAGAAGATGACGAACAAGCTATAAAGGAAAAATACTGATAAAAAATATTGTCAAAAAGATACGCTATATCGCCAAAAATAATATATAACCGATATGTAACTGTATGTAACCCCCCCCCCCCCCCCCCCCATCACTATGTCTAATGTGGATTGCTAAAATAATGACTATGATCAGAATTCCTCAGTTTAAATATTAGGCCTATGGGGACACCATACATTTGGCAGCCAAGCACGAGTTATCACTGTAGCCTTTTATCGTCTAGACATTATGTTAAAATATCTTCACGCCTAGAATAAAAACGTCTATGTCCATTCAGAAAGTTTCCTAAAGTAGCCTGTCTGGAATCCATCTCTTTAAAAGAGAGGCGGGACAAATAATAGAACTGAAATGATCATAACAACATTCATCAAGTTTTTGTACTTTTTACCCCTTTTTCTCCCCAATTGGTAGTTACAGTCTTGTCCCATCGCTGCAACTACCGTACGGACTCAGGAGAGGCGAAGGTCGAGAGCCATGCGTCCTCCGAAACACGACCCTGCCAAGCCGCACTGCTTCTTGACCTGGAAGCCAGCCGCACCAATGTGTCGGAGGAAACACCGTACAACTGGCGACCAAAGTCAGCGTGCATGCGCCCAGCCCACCACAAAGAGTCGCTAGAGCGCGATGGGACAAGGACATCCCGGCCGGCCAAACCCTCCCCTAACCCGGATGACGCTGGGCCAATTGTGTGCCGCCTCATGGGTCTCCCGGTCGCGGCCGGCTGCAACACATCCTGGGATCGAACGCGAGTCTGCAGTGACGCCTCTAGCACTGCGATGCAGTGCCTTAGTCCGCTGCGCCCCTCGGGAGGCCCCCAACATTTAAAAAATGTAAGCAAGTCATGATGATCAGCATATTGACGTGGATGTCGATTAAGGCAGCCCCCCGCACCTCTCTGATTCAGAGGTGTTGGGTTAAATGCGGAAAACACATTTCAGTTGAATGCATTCAGTTGTACAACTGACTAGGTATCTCCTTTACCTTTCCCATATGTGCGAGGAATGATGACCAGGTGCCAGTTTTGCATTTCTTTCCTCTCATTAGTGGGATGCAACTGAAGCAAATGTTGAATCTTGTAGGCTAATATTTTCCAAATCATTATTTCTCTCTCTCATTACGGAGTCCTCTATAGCCACTTTGAACAACATAATCTTCTCACAAGGGAATGACTGCAGCAGGTGATAACGGTATCGTTTGTTGTTCTTAAAATTATAATTCTATATTGCGCCAAATTTGCGCGCACCCCATGTTCCATAACGTTGTCATGGAACATATTAATGATGTTTCCAACTACCAATCAGCAACTGCACCGTAAATCTGGCTGCATATTAAATGTTAAGGTTGCCCGAAAGACCAGTCTCTGGCAAATGACAGGAGTGGAACGTTAGCTAAAAAGACTGGTACCAGGACTAGTCTGGCTAAACTAAATTAAAATTCATCCATTTATCTGATGGCTGCTGTGCAGTCTGGCTCTGACATATCCCTTTTTATGTGTAAGAGCACTCATCTCACCTTGTTTTTACAGTCTTGCACCAAGTCTCTATTGGAGGTGACGGTCATGAATCTTCTCTCCGTTTTCAATGTTAATTTTTCCGGTCCTCAAACACAGTGTTAAAAATCTCACGCTCTCTTTTTCTATTTGTCCCTGCCGGGTTGGCCCCCTCAGTTTGGCAACACTTGTTACTGTAACTCGGTGCTTCAGGCCCTGTACTTCTGCCGGCCCTTCCGGGAGAACGTGCTGGCCTACAAGGCCCAGCAGAAGAAGAAGGAGAACCTGCTCACGTGTCTGGCAGACCTCTTCCACAGCATCGCCACCCAGAAGAAAAAGGTGGGAGTCATCCCGCCCAAGAAGTTCATCTCACGCCTGCGCAAGGAGAATGGTGAGGGACACTACACCAAACCCAAATACAATTACTGTCTGCCAGGGACTGTCTGGGAGAGGGCTGAGGCTGGGGACAAATACACTAGAGGACTATGGTGTAATAGCCTCATAGCTTCCATTTTGTATCGGTTGTCATATGATTGTTCTTGGTAGTATTGGTAGTAAGTCAAACTGACTGTGTTGATCGGTTTCAGACCAGCGTTTAGAGGTTTCAGACTGCTGAGACCAGTTGTCTTGAATCAATCGTTTTCAGGACAGCATGTTTTGAACTGGGGATTGGGATAGGGCTAGAGAGGCAATGGAAGTGTTTTTGACAGGTGATTGTGGGGTGAAGGGCAGGTGCGTGTGGCGGTGCAGACGTTCAGAGCATGGAACTGGAATAGAAGCAGGTTGTTGTTCTCAGGAAGCTCTCTCTATTAATGAACAATGAACATCTATGTGTGGACTAAGGACTGGTCAGCTGCCTTCTCTCCTTCATTCTCTCACTTTCACTCTCACATTCTCTCTCTCCTGCTCTCCAACTTCACTTTTCACACATATCTGATTTGTGTGTGCATGCATGTTAATTGATCTGCCTTGATTCACCTTGACCAGGACTGTTGACTGACTGATCACCTTTCTACACAGTTGCCCTAAAAGCCCCTGTCCTCTGTTTCTCCCCCTACAGACCTGTTTGACAACTACATGCAGCAGGACGCCCATGAGTTCCTCAACTACCTGCTGAACACGGTGGCAGACATCCTGCAGGAGGAGAAGAAGCAGGAGAAGCAGAACGGCCGCCTCAAGAACAACGGCACCACCGTCACCACGGAGACGGAGCCCGAGAACAAGCCCACAGAGCCCACCTGGGTGCATGACATCTTCCAGGGAACTTTGACCAATGAGACGCGATGCCTCAACTGTGAGACGGTGAGTCAGGGCTGGTGTATCCTGTAGAGTGGTTTATGGGGTAGAGGGTTTTATGGAGCCTCGCAAGCTGCCTGATCTCGCAAGTTTACATCCGTGCAGCGAAACATTCATGTAAGCTCGCGAGATCAGGCGGCTTGCGAGGCAGGCGGCTTGCGAGGCTAGGTTTTATGTTCTCTGGCAGTGATTGAAATGGGTGGTCCTAATTCGACCAAGTCATGTGGGACATAAACGCTTATGTAAGAATACTTTATTGATTGGAAATGTGTCTCTTGTTTTTTTTAACTCAACCTCCTTTGTCAGCAATGTTGGTAATGCTTTGACAATCCACTACCAGGGCTTGGCTAAATGACTGTCTCCCACAAAGAGATTAGCTCTGTCTGTAATAGTAAGCTCTCAGCTCTGACGGATGTCCTCCAATCAGCCCCCACAGGCTGTGGCATAGGCCTGTCACTCGCTCTGTCTGTACCTGTGACGCAGGAGGTATTGGTGCTCAGAGAGGAAGAGCAGAGAGAGGGAGGTAGAGATTGGCCCTGAACAACCCTCTTCACCACGCTACAGGCACTGTGCTTCTCACTCACACTGATACTTGCAACCCTATCAACACATCAAAGAGACTCGCTCTCTCATCTCGTGTGCCGGTGTGTGGTCAGGTCACAGAGCAGGAGCAGCATCAGTGCCTTTCAGCACGTGAAGAGGCCAGTACACTGACTCATCTCATCTGTGTGTTTCTCCTTCCCCCTCTCTCTCTCTCTCTCGCACAGGTGAGCAGCAAAGATGAGGACTTCCTGGATCTGTCTGTGGACGTAGAGCAGAATACATCAATCACGCACTGTCTTAGGTAATATTGACCTGTTACCTGGTACCTTTCTGTACCATAACTGCTCCCTGTATCAACCTTACTGACGCAGTCCCCTCTGTGTGTTTTGTGTTCCCCAGGGACTTCAGTAACACAGAGACCTTGTGCAGTGAATACAAATACTACTGTGAGACATGCTGCAGCAAGCAGGAGGCCCAGAAACGGTCAGTACACAACACGCTCCCACTTAGATTGGGTGTGTATGACTGCGGTATCTTTTAGTCTTTGCCTATCTGTATATAACTCCTGTATGTCCCTGTAGGATGCGGGTTAAGAAGTTGCCTATGATCCTGGCCCTGCACCTGAAGCGGTTTAAGTACATGGAGCAGCTGCACCGATACACCAAGCTGTCCTATCGGGTCGTCTTCCCTCTGGAGCTCCGCCTTTTCAACACCTCTGGAGACGCTACCAACCTCGACCGCATGTACGACCTGGTCGCTGTGGTCGTCCACTGTGGCAGGTAGGGGTCACAAACACATACACACATGTCTATTTTATACTGGACAAAAATATAAACGCAACATGCAGCAATTTAAAATATTTTACAGAGTTACAGTTCATAGAAGGAAATCGGTCAATTGAAATAAATAAATTAGGTCCTAATCTATGGATTTCACATGACTGGGCAGGGGCGCAGCCATGGGTGGCCTGGGAGGGCATAGGCCCACTCACTTGGGAGCCAGGTCCACTCACTGGAGAGACCGGCCCAGCCAATCAGAATTAGTTTTTGTCTCTGGCAACAGCTCTGTTGGAAATCCCTGCAGTCAGCATGCCAATTGCACGCTCCCTCAACTTGAGACATCTGTGTCATTGTGTTGTGTGACAAAACTGCACATTTTAGTGGCCTTTTATTGTCTATTGTCCTCAGCACAAGGTGCACCTGTGTAATGATCATGCTGTTTAATCAGCTTCTTGATGCCGCACCTGTCAGGTGGATGTATTATCTTGGCAAAGGAGGAATGCTCACTAACAGGGATGTAAACAAATTTGTGCACAAAATTTGAGAGAAATAAGCTTTTTGTGCGTATGGAACATTTCTGTGATCTTTTATTTCAGCTCATGAAAAATGGGACCAACACTTTACATGTTGCATTTTATATTTTTGTTCAGTATACATACAGCACCTTTCGACACACATTCTTATGCAAACACACTTACTCGTATCCGAACAAACTTGTACCTTGTACTTAGCAAAGACTTTATTGTCATATCCCTGCTTTCCCCTTCTTTCTTCCTCAGTGGACCCAACAGAGGACACTACATCACCATAGTGAAGAGTCACGGCTTCTGGCTGCTGTTTGATGATGACATCGTGGAGGTTTGTGTCACAGTCATACTGTTCTTGTTTGTTGGCCAGCACACCTGTTTATATGCCTCATACAGCATGTTTCATCATTTGTTGTCTCCCTCTCTGGTTTGTTCAGAAAATCGATGCCCAGGCCATCGAGGAGTTCTATGGGCTGACGTCAGACATCTCCAAGAACTCAGAGTCTGGATACATCCTCTTTTACCAGTCCAGGGAGTAACTGGAATAAACACCCAGCCAGCCAGAGACCGATAGAGAGAACGATGGGAACTTTGACCCTGACCCCTGTACCCTCTCTGAGACGTGTGCCAACACCATTCCCTGTCCCACAGCCTGCCCTGGGTCTGCCTGCACTTCATATCCCATAACCACTTTCCTTCCCTGTGCTCAGCATGCTGGGAGGACTCTGCAAACTGCTTTTTGCACTTCAGCCACCTGCAACAAAAAAGCAAACAGTCACAACAGCAAGGACAAGGGGGAAAAAGAAGATACAACAGGCTGGTGTGTGATGCCTGTTTCCTCCACACGGGGCCAGCTCTTGAGGTCTGGAGTCCCAGCACGGGTCACCTTCTCCCTGGGTCTGCCTGGCATACAGAGTTGGCTGGACTGGTACAAATACAGACTGCTGTTGGAAAGAAGATTGTATCATTTGTATATCTGTATAGTATGTCTATTTTCATGTAATGTCACGCTCATAAATCATTTTAGTAGGGTTATCCTGTGACCTTATATTTACAATGTCCTGCCCATAGATGTCTTCTACCTGGGGAATGGCTAGAGCTGGGATGGAAGTTTTAGTGAAATATATAAACTAGGTGAGAGAGAGTCTATGCACATGGTGTAGCTGAACTGCATGTTCAGTGTTCACAGTTTGAGCTGGTGTGGATTCGAGTTGACTTGAGTTGTGACCAAGCCAAACCTATTCATTGTAATGCTGATATATTGTAGTCCTACAGAAGACCAGGATGCATGTAGCTCTCTGTGTCTGCTGCTCTGGTCCTCTTCCGTAGAGACTAACTCAGGACAGAATGCTCCTCTCCCTTGTGGCCCTTATGTAATAACCATGTTATAAATATGTTAGAACCATGTTATGATCAAGCCCCCACTCTAGAACATAGTCACTCACTGACACGATCTTCAGCTCTACTAGAATAGTCTGGTTTAGTTCATGCCCAGTTTATTCTCTATCTAGTCCTTGTTGTGTAAAACACTATTTATTGCTCTTATCTTATTTATGTTGGGCAGTTATAATGTTGAGTGTGCTGGTAGGTGGAGGATATTGTGTGTCAGACTCCATCTTGTCTTGTTGTGTGTGTGACGTCTCCCCCCTGACTGAGTCCTGTAGGAAATACACATACAGAGCTCTCTGGGGTTGAAATGAAGTTTGACAACGTCTTTTTTAGCTCAAGTTTGAAGTATGTGGATAGCTGAGCTCTGTCAAAAGAACCATATGAGGTAAGACGGAGAGATCATAATCCACAGTTGCAACTAGCAAGGCATCCTTGAACAGTACTGTTTTTCACAGTGAGATTGGTGCAATAGGAGAAGGTAAAATGAGCTGATAAGATGTTGACTTCCCTGTGAAACGAATATAGATATTAAATGTTGGTGTGTTTTGTGACCAGCTAGTCTCCTCCCAGTCGTGTGTATCTGTGTGTGATGATGATCAAAGGAGGTGGAAGTCCTTTGCTAGGTGCAATATGGGGCTGTGGTCAACATACTCCAAACGTTGGTATGATGTTACTTAGAACCTTCCTTTTTATTCTTCTGCAGTGACACCATAGTCTGAATATTGATATTGGTCATTCCTATGTTGAGGACGTTACCTTTATCACCGTTTTATTTTGCCTCGTTGTCCCTTCCATTGTTAGGCACTTGACTTGGAACCAATGTTCTTTACTCAGAAGCTGTGCCTGGCAGACACTTATATTAAGTTGTGTTTAGTGTAAAGGTGACCAGTGGTCCATATAGAGTGATGATTTACCATCCCATAAGGTTAGGGCCACGTATTGTAGAGTAGAACTATATCAAAGGCCATATAGAGGTATATGAAGAATCAGTGCTGCTCAGACTGTCCTATGGAACTCTAATTCACTGTAATACTGAAAGAATATTGACCCAAATGCATCTCACTTTAAAGAGATGCTCCGGAACTTTGGCGACTACAAAGTGTTCTTTAAACCTCCGGCTTTGGGCTGGATGTGTCAATGTGTAGTTTATACATGCAGAATTACTATTTTACCTCAATTAGCCACGAAATCCCTAGTTTGAAAGCGACTATTTCTGGAATCTGTGCTGTGCCATTTTCCAAAATGTTCCCCCACGTGGGCCAGCCCCCTAGCAATTCGAGTTCTAGCCAATGAGCTTCAGACCCTCGCCATTTGAGTAAAATCTGCACATATGTGACGTAGTATACAATTTTCAGGGAACACTTTTGTCTCGTGAGAGCTACTTTCAGAACTACTGGCTAAAAGTATACAAACGTACCGGAGAATCTCTTTAAGTGAGAAGTAGAAATTATTTGGGTTGGTATGAGTGAGTTTGACTGTGCCTCCTCCTTTTTATGTGAGTCAGCATGTAATGTAATGTGTGAGAGTGTATTGAAGCATCTTAGATGGTTAACTGACTATTTCCTTCTGTTTAGTATAACTGGGTAAAGTCGATGATGAATATGTGCCAAACTGGAGCCACTAATGACCTTGCAAAACTGGACAGGAACTCTTACAGAACACTATTTTCTATGCTAAGATACACGTGTACATACATTATGTAGGAAATATATTTTTTAAAACCTAGAAGCTAAAACACTAAGAGAACGAGGAGTTAACTAGAAAATAAAAACAAACCCTGTAATGAAATATGGAGCAGCTTTACAATCAGTCAATCACATAATCAATTCATCACGCAATAGTTAGACAGTCGATGAATGTCACAGTGAGGCATTTGAAGCGTTATGATGAGAAGAGATGCTGTGTGTGCTAATCTTCCAATTACTGTTCTGCACACACCCTTACTCAGATGCATTGCACTCCTAACGTGGTCTCAACAGTCTAGAAATGTGGAGTGTTCTACCTATGGGACTCTGGTGCAGTGCCTAGAGATGAATAAGTACTGTACTAGCATGTCTGGTTTGATAAGAGTAGAAGTTAAAAGGAGATCCAGGCACTAGCTAACTCTCAATTCCAATGAGTTGTTTGTAAACTGAAAGTGCACTTTACTAGTGATGAGCTTAAACGCTTTAATGAGAACCACAGTCTGAGTACTTTTTGGATTTCCTTGTCCTCTGTTCAATAAAAGGACTGTATTAACTAAGGCACTGGGATTTGTGAAGATTTAGTTTGTCATGTTCTTTGGATTTTCAAAGATTTCTTAACCCCCTCACCATCAACTCATTCTCCTCTTATCCTCTTCTCTTTACCTCTTCACCCCCGGGCCAGTCCTTCACATCCCCACAGTCTTGTCAGCTGTTTTCCTTTCCCCCGTGGTCACACACACAGTTAATTCCTGTGTTCTCAAGCTGGTCACTTCCTCTGTCACATCATATTTACCAGGTAACTGTGCGTGTTGCTGTGGTGACAGCCAGCCACAGGAATGCAGCATCACAGAACAACAGCCTGTGAGGGGAGACTCCGACAGAGAAAGAGAATGTTCCAGAACTATTAGAAACCTTGCTTTCTGCTTCCTTCATCTACTCTATATTACAGCCATCTGTCACAAAGGCAAGGAAATAATGCCTTTATGTTTTATTGGAATGTGTTTAGTGAAACCTGCAGAGAAGTTCTGACCCCTGAGAGAATATCTTGTAGATTCTAAAGCCAATGCATCATGAGTTTTGGCAGTTTTTATTTTACATTTTAGCAGTCTTACTCTAATCCAGATCAACTAGGGTTAAGTGCCTTGACAGATTTTTCACAAATCGGTTATTCAAACCAGCGATTTTACAGTTACTGGCCAAACGCTCTTAACCACTAGGCTTCCTGCCGCTCCGCGGTCTAACAGTCCCATAGGTCTGCATGTTGGGGTGCCATCTGCCTCAGAAAAAGTATATTTAATATCTGCGTTTGTGATGGTTTTAAGGGGTACAGTATAATGTGTGTGTACATGCCTGGCTGTGTGTATGTATGTGCGTGCATGGCTGTGCATGTGCGGTGACTTATATTTGTTGCGTGTCTGTGGGTGTCAGAGTTAGTAAACTCTGTGACTCTGTTCTTCCCCAGCTCTGAGTACATTTAGTTCCCCTCTTAATCATCCCCAGCTCTAATTCTCTTCCGCAGTCAGAAATAAAGAATGCTTCTCTCTCTTCACTCATTCTCACCCTCTGTTCTCCCTTTACCCGTTTCCTCCCCCTCTCCCTCCTGTTACTGCATATTACCATCTCTCTATCCCCTCGTCTCTATCTACCTCCCTCCCTGCAGATCAAGTGGATGTACTCTGACAGCTGACTGTGCACCAAACAATGTAGTGTAGAAGACTAGTAGGCAAACCAAGGCTCCTCTAGCTCGACACATACGCACACAACAATGTGGGTCAAGTATGCGTGTATAGTTATGTGGAATTATTGTGTCAGTGTCTGTCCATCTGTCCATCCTCCAGTCTGCCTGTCCGTCTGTCTCTGTAAACATGGGAGCGTCAGTAGGCCACGGTAGTGCAAGTTGTCTGGGATCAGTGAAGACAGCCAGAACAGGGGGCCTAACCAGCCCAGATCTGATCTGGGATCTGAGTCAGTGAGGTCAAAGGTCCTTCCTCATCATGATTACAGCACTGAGTGTCTCTGCATCTGCGACATTATTGTAATTACACATCATTATAATAATTATCTGCATAATTAGCTCTGATGTAGCAGCAGAGTTCTGCTAATGATGAATGCTAGAAGGGCAGGAAATACGTCACTGATTAAATAAATTAATGAAATTACTGATTAAATAATTGCATAAATCCCTGTCATAATTACATAAATCCCTGTTATCTGGTAGGTGATGTTTATGTAACCTGTAACAAGTACTATACCCTCCTAGTGTATAAACAAGTAACTTATTGACCTGGGAACCGTTTTTTTTGTGCATGTGGGAGCATTTCTGAGGAAAGCAAAGGATGGGTGGTGGGAGAGTGAGGAGGGTGCTTATGTATGGTCATACATATCAACAATCAGAGAGGAACTACCCACAATGAACATCATAGCAGGAATGTGATGCTGCTTCTTCGTCCTGTTTTCTA